TTTAATGGAAAGAAAGAAAATAGGATTTCTTCAGTTTTGGCAGATAGGCTCTCAAAATAGGCAATCACTTCCCTGATTTTCTTGAAAAGGAACCTAATCTCTTTCCCAATTTCAACTGCCCCTTGTGAGATTTTAACCGTGATGGTTAGTTTTGACTTTTTTTTCTGGACAGCTCCCTGCTTTCCTGCTTATCCTTCTCTGAGATTGTAACTTGCTTATCTCCTTGGGAGAATTATCTTCTCTGTAAAAATAGAAGAAAAAAAAAATCTCTGAACATATATATATGTAAGAGGGATTTGATCTTCAGTTTTTTCAGAATCAACTTGATGTCATGAACCCTTCAATCACTTCTTCTATGACAGTTGCCATTACTGACTTTTCTTTATCCCAGAGATGTCACGTGGGATTGTTCCTATTTCTGGGCTCCCTCTTCCTATTATATTGGGCCTGTGAGGCCCTAGATTAGCCTTGTTTGCTCTGATGAGCCTTGGGCTGGTCTCTTCTGGTTTTTTGGGCTTTCATCTTTCTTTGATTTTTTGCAGCTTTATTCTGGGCCTAATTTTCGCTGGGCTGGGTGTGTCAATTTTTGGCCCAAACAGAATCGTACTTGGAGTTTCTTCAGTTTCCTCTATGCACGGTTGTGTTATAGTAACACTTTTCTTTTCAACTTTTTCTTCCTCCCAGTTCCATGAAGTCGATTCATCAAACTCAACATCTCGGCTTATCATGAACTTCTTAGTTTTGGGATTGTAGACTCGATAGCCTTTAGATTGAGAACTGTATCCCAGAAATATACCAACTTCATATTTTTCTTCTAGCTTGTGCCTTTTCTCCTTAGGAATGTGCACATAGCAAATGCATCCAAATACTTTGAGATGCTTTGCTGATGGCTTTATATTGCTCCAAGCCTCAATAGGAGTCTTATTTTGTAAAGCTTTTGTTGGGCATCTATTAAGTAAGTATACTGCTGTGTACACAGCTTCTGCCTAGAAAGTGTTTGGCAAGCCTTTTTCAAATATCATAGATCTTGCCATCTCCATGATAGTTCTATTTTTCCTTTTTGAGACTCCATTTTGTTCAGGAGCATAGCCAACTGTTAGTTGATGCTCTACTCCTTCATCTTCACAAAATTTGTTGAATTCTTTAGAGGTATATTCTTTTCCTCTATCACTTCTTAGAGCTTTAATATAGTGGCCACTTTGTTTTTCAACATGGGTTTTGAATTTTTTGAAGATATTAAACATCTCTGATCTTTCTCGTAAAAAATAAACCCACGTCATTCTAGTATAGTCATCTATAAACAGGATAAAATACCTGTTATTATCAAGAGATGGAGTCCTCATGGGTCCACAAACGTCTGTGTGAACAATTTCCAGCAAGGCCTTAGCTCTCCAAGCCTTTCCAGATGGAAATGCTTGTCGATGTTGTTTGCCAAGTTGGCAACCTTCACA